CACCACCACAGCTAACTACTGTTGGCTGTAAGAAAGATAAACTAGCAGAAAACCAATATGAAAATTAAAAGAAATTTAAAAAAACTTCCAGGATAATAGGATGAAAAAGCTCAGTGGAGTGTTCACTGCTGTCCAAAGAGAACAAGTACAATCGAAGGCAGAACTGCACCAAACAATTAAAATGGTTATGCTGCTCTGGAACCACAACCTGGAAATACTCAGAAAATTCTCCAGGTGGTCTTGAAATATTTAATAAACAAGGTTAAAAAGTAGACCACGGGGCTGGAACAGAAATCATAGAATCATAGAATCACAGAATGGTTTGGGTGGGAAGGGACCTTAAAGCCCACCCAGTTCCAACCCCCCTGCCATGGGCAGGGACACCTTCCACTAGACCAGGTTGCTCCAAGCCTCATCCAGCCTGGCCTTGGACACTTCTAGGGATGGGGCATCCACAGCTTCTCTGGGCAACCTGTCCCAGTGCCTCACCACCCTCTCCGGGAAGAATTTCTTCCTGACATCTAATCTAAACCTCCCCGCTTTCAATTTAAACCCGTTACCCCTTGTCCTGTCCCTACAGGCCCTTGTAAAAAGTCCCCCCCAGTTTCCTTCTAGCCCCCTTCAGGTACTGGAAGGCTGCAGTAAGGTGTCCCCAGAGCCTCCTCTTCTCCAGGCTGAACAAGCCTAATTCTCGCAGCCTTTCATCACAGCAGAGGTGCTCCAGCCCTCTGAGCATCTTCGTGGCCTCCTCTAGACTCGCTCCAACCAGTCTATATCCTTCTGATGTTGAGGGCTCCACAGCTGGACGCAGCACTCCAGGTGGGGTCTCACCAGAGCAGAGTACAGGGGCAGAATTCCCTCCCTCGACCTGCTGACCACACTTCTCTGGATACAGCCCAGGATACGGTTAAGGTATCATATGTAAAGAACAAAATATTGTAATAGTACAATCCATAGTACAATTTCTCCTTTCCTTAACAGCCATTCTCTGCTGACTCCATTTTGCGGTTTTATCCTTTTTTCCTCTTTAACTGTCATTTCCCATTTCCAGTTCTCAGATGCCTTATGCCTTCTTGTTCTGATCAAGAGAGTAGCTTATTTTAAAACTCTGTCTTTAGTAAAGCTGCACAGGCACAGCTTATAAGCAGATCTCAATTATAATGCTACCGTAACTCTCCTCCTCTTCCCTTCCCCACCTCACCAGACATCTGTCCCCACAAATTTTGCAGACAGGCACTTGTGTGCAGGGTTAATCAGTTCATGAGTCAGGCAAAAACTAATATTACAAAAAAATCAGCTGCTTTATATAGCTTACTGTGCAACGGCGTAAGCATCCGTGCCAGCCTAAGGAGAAGGAAGATGCAGCTGAAGATGTGTGCACAGGGCTGCACAGCTCTGACCACAGCTACAGACCCACTCTCACATATCACATTATAAAGCATAAGAAGTGTCAGCTATGGTTTTAAGCCCCAGTTTCATTACAGCCTAACCCTAGCTAAATGTTGGCGAACAATGCTCTGTACTTCCCGCACCCAACTGGTATATTCCTGCCCTCTCGCTTACACACTTCTGGCAGTCTACCAAGGCATTTCAGCACACTAAGCTAGCAGAACACTATTCATGTTTTACGGTTCAGTTCGTTTCCTGCCAGCTTAGGTATGGAAGGAAGTGGATAAAACTGCTGCATCGAGCAGTTTGACCAGCTTCGCCTTCTTTCAAACCACCATCTTAAAGTGATTCAAAAGCTATGTTAACATCCTTGTTACAGATTAAACAATGCATGTTTCAGCTCAGCTTCAACTGAACTGGAATTGATTTATAGCAGTTAAAATTAAACTGCTTATACAAAACAAGAATGTTCATGAAGAGGCTAATTGGTTTTAAAGCATTTTAATTTATTTTCCTACAACTTTCTCTACACATTGCCTCCCAAGAGCTGTACAACAAACTGTAGCAGAGCAAGTTAGGTTACAAACTTGCAGCATATCAGTTTTGCCCAGACAAGTGTGAAGTTGCAGCATACCACTGGCTGATCTGCTGCACAGGCTCCTCAGACCATAAAAAAAACCCAAACCAACCAAGAGGAGCTGTAGGCTTCGCTTAAGGGTCTGTCTATATAGCGTCAATTTCCTCATCTACATCCTTTCTAAAACACAAAAAGCAAAATTCTGCAAAGATTAATGTTACAAGAGGAAACAGTGTTTTACCACTATCCCATCAGTTTAGAACCCTGCTGCATGTTTTCTGCATTCCGCAGAGTACAACAGTTTCAAAATCCTGGTTTGTGACTTTTCTGCTGCAGAAATACTGCACTGAACTAACACAGAAACTTGTCTCAGTCCAAATAACAGAAATCCAGAAAGATCAATTTAGCAGGTCTATAATATAGCCAGCTCTTGTACTAAGCAGATGACATTTATGATCCTTTTACTTTCTATGCAAAACTACATAGTCAACTACTAGAAAGTTCTACCACCAATTCACAGATTAGGTTTGGAATACAACAAAACAAGATGGCTTATAAGCAAGTCCCAAGATTTCCTTACAACCCACATCACTACTTCACTGAAAAATATATATACCTGTAAAAGCTTGGCATGGGTAGTTGTTATTCTTGCCCTTAAAATGATGCTGGCACGAGTTTCCTCAACATACGTGTCAAAATTAACAAACCAATTAAAGCAAACCAGTATCTAGTTAAATAAATATAAATTCCATTATTGTTATTCAATTAATTCAACCTCTTAAGTTTTATCATTACTATGGCCGTTCAGATCACACTCAGTGGTGTTTAAAACACTGAGAGTTCCACTCTGTATAGACCAGTGACTTCCACACAATGACAGATTGGGCCAATCTAAACTAGCACTGTGGTGATCCTGTCTTTGTCTTCCAAACCACTCTCATTCACTACCAGAGCTTGCCTGTGAGCTGGTTCTGCGAGCTGTAGGCACAGTAAACTCACCAAGTCTGAAAACATGAGTTTTTCTGCCAGGTTAGCTCCCCCTGAATTGATCAATTTGAACTGATCAGCACCCACAAAGCAAGGGGCAAGGGCACGTGGCTAAGAAGGTTGGGAGGTGAAAGTCTGACCCTTTCAATAACCATGAGGTATTAAATCAGCTTACTTTGCTGAGAAATGTCATCTTAATCATACAAAACCCAAAAGTAAAAAGTTTTCTGTGGGCTTAATTCATTGAAACAGCTCACCCTGAGGTCAGACCAGCACCAGAACTAATGCAAGCGAACTGCAACTTTTTGTACCAACCATAAAACTGTTTCTAGGCAGAGTAAAGCAACAGGGCTAAAATGCAGACATCTACATGAACAGGCAACAGATTCATAAAGGACCTTTAGACTCTGACTATGCCAGTGACCTAAGTAGTAGTTTAGCTCACCTGATGCATGTGAAATTCTTATTAGTGCTAATACATGGGGCAAAGTCTTTCTAAGGAGAAAGGAAGGTGAGATTTCATGGGCAGCTAAATGCATCTCATAACCCCCTTTGTCTCTTATACCGAGTTCTCATGCTCACCAAACTTTCCCAAACAAACTGGTCACTGCAACAGCAGGAAATTGTTTAAGTTGGTTAGAAAATTCAAGTGGCTGGGATCTGACAGGCACCAGAAAGGAAGTGAGCCGTGGGAGTACAAAGCCAGGACCTTACCCCATTCAGGACCAATCGTTAAAGCAACAAAAAATGAGTTACTTTCTGCTGGCTTAGAAAACTGAAATACAGAGATAAGTAAACACCAAAAGCAGTCCAGTGATGGAGACCGACATGCAAGAGCAGAAGCAGGGACAGGAGAAAAGGACAGGGAGAAGGAGCAAAAGGAGCACGGAAATCTCTTCTGAGCTGCCAGATCATAGGTACCACCTCATCTAATCATACCACGAGAACCGAAACAAGACATTTACTGTCCTCTAGCACAAATAAGACCTAAATGCAATTTCATAACCATGTTATCTACCCCAGCTGCCTCATTACAAAACAAAGGAATGCAGATGATCTGTGCCAGGCTTTCAAGACAATTACTTCTGCACATTCAGAGCTAACTAGACTTATGACCCCTGGGGTGGAAATGTGAAGAGTAAGTGGGTATGTGCTAGAATTTGAAAAGGATGGTGGTAACTACTGCTGCCATTTTACAGAAATGGTTTTTAAGTAAACTGAGCTGCAAAGTCAGCTGCAAGTGCAAAAGGAAGTGGACAAGCAGCTGGCAGTCAGTTACAATGAACTGGAGTAAACAATTATGTGCAAGTATTCCGAATGAAGGGCATTTCTGTCCCCACACTCCAAATGACAGGAGGAATATTTGCACTGATCTAGACAGTTACATATTCTGCTTTCTTTATACTGAGAGATAACATCACCTGCCTGTAGTAACTCATTCATAGGGGAAACACCAAAAAACGGAAGGACAGAAATTCTTAGTCACATGCACTTCCATGAGCAAGTTTAATTTATGTCATGGCAATAGTATGGCTATGTAAATGTCCATGAGATACATACTGCTCAGGGGACCAATTTTTGTGGAAACATAAATATTGCTATATTTATTCATAGGAAAATTAGGATTCCTTACTGTAGGAAATACTGCCTTATTATTATTACTACTGCTACTACTATTTTCTCCTGCATTGCAAAAGTGAAAGTACCTTAAATGAAGGTACCTTAAAAAGTACCTTAAATGAAGCTACAATAAGTGAGATGATAGAAGAGGCTGATGGGACTTTTTCATCATTTAAGTTAATTATTCATAAACCAGAAATTATAGGGGGGGGAGGGGGAAGGGGAGGTTTGTCATAAAACAAGCAAAAATTAAAACACTTTCTAATATACAATAGTCACTGTAAAAAAAAAAAGTTAGTCGTCGAGTCTTTACACAAGAGCAGCTTCATGGTAGATAACAGTTTCATTATCCTGGTTTACAAATATTCATATAGAATCACAAATATTCATATGTCATAGAACACATCAAATATTCCTTCTTACTCACCTTTGGATCGAGTGGAGATATCCATCCCCTCCACCACCTCCTGCTCTGCCTTTATTTCCTCTTCAGCCAAGCTGCAGAATTCAAAAAGGTGAATTAGCATAGTTAGAGATGGTGTTATTCCCGTGTCTAACTTCATGTACAGAAGTTCAGCATACCACTGTCAACTACAGTAAAATTTCTGATGAAATGAGAGGTTTGCTGTTTGCCAGAGTATCCATGGACCAAAATATGTAGAGAAACAATCCAGGTACCTGTGTGCTGCACGTTACCAACTACAAAGGTAACACCTTCATACTAACGAGAGTCATGTAACATGTACTGAAGAGTACGTCACTGTACCTATAAATTCTATGTGACGGACAAACAGGAATTCTGTTCCTTGTAGCTCCTAATCTAAGGCCTCTATAAACTATGGGGACAGATGCTTGCCAACACTAAAACACTTCCCAGCATCAGTGAACTGATTAGCTGAAGTAACAGGTTAGCAACACAGACCAGCTTGCAAAATTAGAACGTAACATGCAATTTTGAAAACTATTAAATAAATAATTTCAAGGATTTTGAACCTAGACTACTTAACAGAAAATATAAATAATTTATGGGCAATACAATTCCACCAATTATTAACTATAATAATGAGTAAACGGAACAGAGTTGTTACTATCATTCAACCAGTCAATCTTACATAGACAGCCTTAATTCACTCCAGGCAAGATTAAATGATTAAGCAGATGACAAACTATATCTGACTTGCTGATATTCTACTTTCTTACAGAGATGCCATTCACGAAAACATCTCAATGAATTTGGCTAGCTAAGTCAGTTTGGGGAAGGAAAAAAGAAGAAAGAATATTGAGTTACAAACCATTTTTGGAGATCTGACTATTGTAGATGAAACGTAAAAGATATGTTGAAGCAAACCCAAATTCACAGCAATAGACAAACGAGGTTATGGTGCCCAAACCAGGTATCAGGCTGTCCATTAATATCACCAGGGCGCAACAGCCAAGCGGGATGTAGATCTTTTCCTCCGTGGTGACTATTTACTGTCTAGTCTGTTAATGTACATTGCTGCTGACACCAGTTTACAGTGATAAAGCAGACTGAACGACTGCTGCTATGGAGTGGACTGAGACTTTATTCAGCCGTCCCAGCTCTAGGGACAGCTTTTTCTACCACAGAGGCCAAGAGAACAGCTAGAGGCCTTTGCTTTAGTCACTGCAGTTAAAACTGCCCGAGGCAGCTAAGCGGGGCTGGGAATCAACACCGAGGACTTGGTTACATTCATATGAGAGAAACTCTTCAGCTTGACAAACAGTTTATATTAACAGGAGTTACTGATATAAGTTAAAACAGCTTCCTAAACAAAGTAAAACTTACCAGGAGAATGACTGTTTAGTCTGGTATTTGTCAAAACTACTTTTAATCAACTATCAGCTACTGGGGGGTTGGGTTGCAATTCCATTCCCACTTCTAAACAGAACAGTTATGTCAGCAAAAATTTTAAATACAAATTAACCAAGCTCAATGTATGGGAGACCCAAAGATGAGAAGATCCATGAACTCCAGAATTCATTATTCTTTACTTGTCATTGGCACATAGCAATAATTTACAAATTAAGCTCTTTAAAGTCATAAAACACTGAAGAGAAGTTCTATTCTACCAGCATCTCATGTCCCAGCTCAAGGACTAGGCTGTTAATGTCAGCAGCAAGAAAAGGCACCCATGTGACCAGAATTATGGCAAATGGTTAGCACAGCTGACCGTAGCACAATGCTTCTCAGATTTATTTTGCATGGGCAGATTAAATGCATAACACAGTTGACCATACTACAATGCTCACCGATTTACTATACATGGGCAGATCAATTATCCTGCATATTTCTTACACCCCTTCCCAGAGAGCCTCCAGCAAAGAGGAACTGGCAGTGTGTTGCAGACACCAATCCATTTCATGCACCACTTGCCTATGCCCATTCTCTTTCCTAAGCAATGGAAAGGGATGGGCTCACGGGATGGGTTCATTGTTCTCTTCCCATGTTGCACTGGCTTTTTCCTTCCCTTCCCTACTTATAAAATCTTATTTCAGTACCACCAAACTGTAACCAAAAAAACATATTTTTAAAACATCATGTATATATGATTAATAATGCACACAGGTAAATATGTAATAATACACACTGCTAAATATGTAATAACACACTAATTCTGTCAAAAGTGAAGTAATCTGGCAGTACACATTACCTGGTTTTAAAACACAGATCCAGTTTCAGCCACAGACTAGGACATACAAGTCTTTACGAGACTGAGGTTGAAGCCACAAGATCATTTTACACAGGTTGCTGCTAAAAGGAATGGTTTCCCCAATTTCTAACTTCATGTTCCAGAAATCATGTTCTTTTAACTGAATCAGCTCTGTGATCTAGCTCACTGTGCAGCTGGATGTGCAGAAAAGAGATGGGAGTGTACCACATGTGGGAATGGGGGGAAAGAATAATATCCTTGCAGCAGCAGCTCACACTGAAGTTACATTACAGCAATCATAACATTCCAGACTCATCCAAACCTATCAGATGCCATTTTTGTTCAAATCACAACCTCAGGGGAACATGATACAAGAAGAAAGATACAGTAGTTGCTACAAGTCAGTATTAAAAAACAGAAGGATTAGATTCGGGTGTGACAGATGAGTACAGCAACACACTAGCAGGAACTGTTCCTAATCCCAGACCACAGCAGCAGGGAAGTTACAGAGCTGACTGAAGATGCTCTGCACCTGTGGGCCCAAACCTGGCACTGAGGGGGGTGCTACAGGTCAGGACTCCTACAAATCACTTAGAGCATATGAGGTTTCTTCAGCTTTAAGTCCGTCTCTCCCCATCAAATGAGTTTAATTTTGGAAATACAGCCAGTTTCCTGCATCACCTTTTGAGTATTCTTTCAACAGATATATAGAGGCAAGAAAAACATTCTTCAGCAGCAGCTCCAAGACGAACAAAGTATCTTGACTTGACACATCTCTGATACATCACATGAAAGATGCCTGAAGACAGCTTTCCCCAAGATCTGAAGTATAAGTGAACTGTCAAAAATGCCTTCACCACTTCACACAAAGGTTCTTCATTCCCTTAGCAGTGGAGGTGCGTATGCCCTACACACACATATGCACACTGTGCATCACCCACAACTACAACAGAATTCAGCAATTATCTACAATACTAGGAAAACTGAGCCCTAGAGGAACAGATTGCATCTCCATATTCCCTACTATAATTAATCTCACTCAATCTTTTCAAGGCACAAACATTTACGTATGTAAGAAAAATCACTGAGGTTGTTCTGAAAAAAAAAGGGGGGGGGGAGGAGGAAGGGGGGGAGTTAAACAAGCATTAGGCTTCACCATAAAAGACACTTGAAATTCACAGCTCTTCACTAGCATCTCCCATTGTTTTATTTGCTGTGATGTATTACGGCTTGCACAACAGACACTGTTGGAACAGTGGCAGTGATGACTGTAGTGGTAATCTTTAGGACTCAAGTTTGTAAATACACGCTAGCAATTCACAGCAAGTTCACAGTAACTTTTCCAGAGCTGACAGATCTTTTCACCTTTGCACCTTCCCATCGATGTAAGCAATATCCTGGAAATGCTTTATAAAGCACAAACTTCCAAACCCAGAAATTTCATTAGCAAAAGACTTAAATAGTTCAAGAAAAACAGGTCCTTAACGACAGGTACCTTAATATTACCCACAACAAAATAATAAAATTAAAACCAGCAGCAAAATAATTAGAAACAAGCTATGGAAACAATCCCCACCCAATCAAGTAGACCATTTGAGAGAGTTTTATTTGCAGAATTCACTTTTGCAGGGCTCCGAGCTGTGATTTCAGACAGGATGCACTACTGTCATGCAGGCGTACCGTGAACATGAGGCTCGGAAGTTGCGGATCAGAAATGATACTGGTATGTACTCAAGCACCTAGATGAATACAATAAAGACCTCCTGTCATTCCGAAAGCTGCCCTTACGTCCTCATTAGGATGAATGAACACAGAGGAACAGGTTTTAAGAACACAACTGAAATGTAAGCGTTGCCAGGTTCACTGTCGATTGACTACAATGCCAATTCATCATCTAAAACCGCCCTGCTCGTATTGACCAAACTTACAAAAACAAAAGAAGAAATTGTTTTCTGTAATGTTAAACTAATTTGATTCATGGAAATTATTTAAACATGTCTGAATGAGGGAGAAGGGGTGGAGATTATTTCTCTGGGGATTGCTGGGGACAGAAAGAAAAAAAAATAAGGACTACAAACACACAGTATTTATTGATACTTAAGTAAAAATGCAAAAAGCACGTAGCTGTCTAATTTTTAAATATGTTCTCTAGTAAACTGAAGAGAGGGTGGGTTTTTATCTGAAATTCAGTTTTCCAAATTTCAGACCAGTAAATAAAATACTGACTTTTCTGTTCAGGCAAGTAATTCCTGTACTGGTAAGTAGTACTTATCGAAAAGCCGTACATTTACAAAAATATTTAAAGCTGCTCTAACCTATATTAACTACAAAGAGCAATTAAAAGTTGCAGATGAACTAGTGCACCTTGACATTTAACCAAGAAAAACTGACAGATATGGAAGACCACTCGAAACAGCTAATGCCCACATACACAATCTAGATCTGCATTAGGGAATAAACACATTCATTTTCAATCAAGAACTACATATTTATGAAACTCATTTTGCCTTTTAATTAATAGAAAATAAACCGAAAAACCTCTGATGTAAGACTATAAGCACTAAAACTGAATTTCATCCTTAAGATAATTCCTGCCTCTCCCATATCACATTTGTGAGTAGCAAACCTAAATCATGATTTCAAAAAACTGCATTCAATAAAAATGGGAAAAAAAAAATATTTGCATGCCATTGCTGAATAAATAGCAGCTTTGTATAAGCACTCACCTATAACAGTCTCTTACTCATCGGTAGCTATGCTATTTATGCAGGATTCTTAAAATGGCGTCTGACAGCACTGCACTGCCTCATTCCTGTACTGGAGCTA